TATTATTATTCAATGTAATTCTTTTGGAAATAAATTATTATTATTATTATTATTATTATTATTATTATAGTAGTAATATCATTTATTGAGTCCCATATACAATTTCAATCATGTATAACGAGTCAGATATGCAGATGCACACTTCTTGAGCTCCAAATTTGCATGCATTAGAAATATGGGTGTTTACAGTCAATCAATAATATTTTTTGTATTTCTTTAATTTCCATATCTCCTCATATATTTTAAAATGAAGTAATTTTTTTTTCTTTTAAACATTTTTGTGTTTTTTGCAGTACTTTCTAGTGGGAAATGATTAAGACTACCTGGCAACACTGATCATGAATGGTACAGACATATTTAGGTTGTTTAAATTAACATTTTCATTGTGAACAAGACTTGAATGTTTTGTGAACAAGACTTAGCATGCTAAAAGATCTACTCTAGATCTATAGCCCTAGATCTATTGTACAGTATTTTAATATAAAAATATTGAATTTTTCCAAGTCAAACAACAACAAATTAAATAGGTATATCTGGAAGTGACATTTTTATGGACAAAAATTGCTTTACTGAAACAACATTTTGCTACAAGATGATACTAATTACATGTTTATCCAAAAGTTGTATGCACAAAGATTATTTGAGCTTATAATGTAGAATGTTAATTGTAAGAAATATTTATGAAAGATTATTTGAGCTTATAATTCATAAATATTTCTTAAAATTAACATTCTATAGTATTATGAATAACTATAAAAATAAAATTATGATTCAAAGAACAGAATCTTGCAGAAATTACCAGGAAATCCAGTATCCATAACGACAGCTGATGCTCACATCCCATGTCTGAATTCAAATGCACTTACTGTTTATGTTCCTTGTCCTTGTCAATAAGGATACGCACATCTCTCAATTCTAACAAGAATTCACGATCCAGTTCAGTCTCATTATAATCAGGATTTGACTCTCCATATGTCCACTGAACCATAATTGACTGGGCACAATGATGGAAGTCAGAAAAGGTCAGGTACTGTAACTTTCGCTTGCCAGTTTCAAAACGCATGCAACCCAAAAACACCACAGCTCCATAACGCCTGTAATCAAAACAAACTACTATTATTGGAGTGTCTGAGTAAAATGGATCTCTCATAATAGCTCAAAACCTCCTGAGAAATGACATTTCGACAATTTTCAAATCTTCTGTTTGTTTGTTTGTTTGTTTGTTTTAAGTCCACAGAATTCAATAATACATAAAAATTATTATGTAGTAAAAACTCTTCCACCTTTGAGAATGTAATTCAATGGCATCACAGAAATTATCAAATACTTTTTTTACATTTTTTAATGACATAATAATTTGGATAATTTATACTACCATAAATGAAAAATTTCAACAGCCGTTTCTGAATCTATTTCATTAACAAATTACTTTTGCAAAAACAAAATTTCATTTACATCACTTTTGCAAATACAATAACATATCAATAATTTGGGACCTTCAATAAACCAATCATTCAATTCTGGTGAAATTAAATTTGCTTGACATGAATACTTTATGTGTGATTTGGATTAAGTATCTATTGACTGTCCTTAATCAACAGATAATTTATCCACTATATTTAACAGACATATACATTCAAAGTGTCACCACAACTTAATAATTTTATTAAAACTATTAATTGCAGAAAATTATATAATACATAGATATAAAATAAAATCTAAATAATATCATTTAAATTTTATGAGTGATGATACATGTCAAGTAAAAGTTATTATTGAGAACAATATAAGATTCTACATATTTGGCTGTCAAGATAAACTGTGCTAGGCACAGTTGCCAAGGTTTTGGATGCCATACTGTGATCTTCCTCAGGGAGAAACACTATTAGGTTTATAAATCCCTCTATCAGCTGCCAGGTGATCGCCCAATGTGAAGAAAGAAGGGGACAACCCCTTCTCCTTGAATGTCAAGGAGCAATAGGGACTGCAACTGAGTGCCATGGAAAAATGTACCTAGTATGTGACATCTCTCAGACAGCAAAGTGTCTAATGATTCCAACTTTTATTATAAGCCTATGTGTGAAACAAATCAATACTAGGATTTATTTAACCATGCACTTGATGTAAATCAGCTGTTCATGGTTTTGTCAAATCAGAACCCCATCCAATCAGAACATCCCCATAGTAATGTCACTCTCACAACATATAAGCTCCCCGTGGATGAAACCACAACAGCTAAATTAAGTCAAGTACACAACTATATAAATTGTACTATAGCAGGAATTTTCCCAATACCACAGGTTGAACACCTTAACTTTTCCCTGAACAATTACTTTTCACATGTCTAATTAAATTTGATTTTCTCATGAATTTACAAAAACGGGTAATTTCAAACATCTTACAACATTAATGGTTTTAATCAACTGCTCCACTTCTGTAACCTTCAGAGTAAAATATGAATAATTTTAGTAAGTTTTTTTTTTTTTAACTTTGAAAACATTTACCAGCTTTTTTATAGGTTTATTTCAATAATCTGGACAATAATTCAGAAAAGGTCATGCTCAAATTAATCTGGTGATCAATACTCTACTATAACTACAAAATTGCTAGTAACTTTCAAATTATGCACACAATCCTTCACTTCTAATATGTTTTCAAATACACATAAGGAAAACCAAATATTTACTACAAATGAACTGCTAAAAATTTATTTTTATCCAATATATTAACCTCTAACAGTCTCTCCAGTAAAACTTGTAACTACAACAATAGTTCCCACAGTCCTGTACATGCCCTTCTCAGTCATCAACTCTAGTAACGTCATTTGCATTACAAAATTATGTTTACAAACCTTGCAAGTTCCTCAGGTAAAAGGAAATGAGTTCGTATGTTCTGTACAATGGATCCAGACATTTCTTCAACTGCTTTGAACACTCTTTTTATGTTGTCAAATTGACGCCTTAAAGAAAATTATATAAAATTAAGCAAATATCAAATTTTAACTTTTATAGAAGCACAGTATGTTTGGCATGACAAATACAATAATCAGGGAAATTGAATGTAGACAGAAACAAATTCATCCTGAAAAGTCATCAAAGTTATTTGTCAGTTATTGAAATGAAAGAACACCCATTATACTTGGTTTAAAAATTTCCAATTTATATATTTCTTATCTTTCTATTGATAAAAACAAACAATGAAAGTAATCAAAATCAATGTATTTCCTACCGACATGACTTTAACAGAACTTCAGTCTTATCTGCCACTTCATCCAAATCTTTCCGATGACGTGAAGACAATTTTTTTCCCAAAAGTTCTCGAATAACAGCATCATCAAACTCATAGTACCTATACACACAAATACAAGTCATTATGTAGCAAAACATTTTACAACATAAACTAAATTAGGACCCCCAAACAAAAATATGAGTACTCTAACTTTGCTGCTCAGTTAATTTTTTGACATTATTAATAATCTGTAACAGAAAGAACAATGCACTTAATTCATCATTACTTATAGGTTTTTCCATGTCCTACAAGTAATTCTATAAGAAATATGTCAGTACTTTTCAGATATAATATATAATTCTACAAGAAATATATTCAGATACTTTTGTGTTGGTCAAATAATATTTCAACTTGATGGTTTTAATAAGAAACTGTGAATCTGTAGTTTTGAAACCTGCATTCAAATGGATAAAAATTTTGACAGTAAAACTAACCGTTGCAAGTTGTCTTTACACCCTACACACCAAACTTCCTTAGATTGATTTGAATTCTTGAATTGAATATACATAATATTCCATTCAAGATATCAGGAAATATTTCTTTTCAATAACTTAGGATGCTGGATAAAACTAATTTCTTTTGCATAACAAATACTTCTCAAAGCAATGAAATTTAGAAACAATATTGAAAAGTTTTAACTTCAAAATGAGGCATTGGACTTTAACTATACTGTAGTGTTGTTTTTGTAATTATTTCTGTCGAAGTTAATTTAATGAAATTATACACAAACTATGTTATATCATCACTTACTTTTCTATTAGAAACTGCCTGGTTTGAGGGTCAATCTGAAATGCTAGTTGCTCAGACAACTTAGTAGGGTTATGAAGCAATCTCTCCAATAGACTGTATGTTCGAAAATGGTCCAATACATCAGATGTCAGTAAATCTAATGTAGCTTCCATCTGAGCTGCAACTCCCCTTTGATGTAATACATTGACTGCATCTGAAGCTGCAATGTAAATTTTTAAAAATTTCTCTTGCTTTTCCATCAATCAATATTCTTAGTACATTAAAATGAATAACTCACATGAATATCCATCAACCCATAGCTGAAATACATCAGGATCCACTAAAATGTAATTGCTTATAAAAACGTCAACGTCTGGGCAGGTTGATTCTTTACTCATTCTGATTATTTCTGTAGCAACAATGCACAATGTTATTTGACATTCATCACACACAATTACAGATTTACTATCAGTAGAAGTATAATTGAGACATGAGATAAACCGGCTGAAAAAGTTTTGGTCGAAACCAGCCCAAAAATGATACTCACTTTTAAGTTATTGGTACTATCAAGTAAACATACTTCAAACAACCCGACACAGCGAAAAACGTGTATCACAAAACTATCATACTGAATGGTTGTGTATTCAATTGATCAACTATTTATTGCTACACTTGTTTTCACCATTGGAATCGCGACACCGTCAAACCCAGGTCAAACTCAGTCGAACTTGTCTATCGGCGAGGAAGTAGACATAAGTACACACGATCTTGTCATCTGCTCTGCCAGTCGCCACTTAGAAATGACAACAGTACAAAATGTATACGACATTCACATCCATCAAAAATGTTTTCGCAGATAATCACATAAAATTGGCATGGTGTACGTCGGTACTTTTCAAAATAGTAAACACTCTACAAACTTATTTCATAATTGATTAACTAGATAAAAATAATTTGTAGTTTTTTCAATAGTTGGTAATTTATATTGGAGTGCTCACGATAAAAATTGCGCGCAGTTTGTCTGAGAGAACAGATTTGTGTTAATAAACTGTCAGTAATTTAATATTGTTTTAAATATAAATTATTTACGAAATCGTAATAAATCGAAACAACTTTAGTTTTATAGTTAATAAGTTAGTTTTATAGTTAGTATAGATAGGTAATATAGTTTTCTGTGTGGGGTAAAATTTTATAAAATTACCTCAAAGAAGGTTTGTGTTAGTATTGACAATCAGCACTACAAAATTAATAACAAAACTAATATTTTTCAGAGTCAGGAGATAGTTTGTTTTAGTTTTTATTCAAGGATTATTTCATGGTACACTTAAAAAAGCAGAGACTTTTAGACTTCCTCTGATATTATTATTATTATTATTATTATTATTATTATTATTATTACTCAACAACACACACACACACACACCACAACGAAAAAGGAAAAAAGGAAAGGAAAAATTTTCTTGTTTTGGGTGGGGGTTTTTTTTTTTTTTTAAAAAAAAATTTTAATAAAATTTTGAAACCGGGTCAAAAGAAAGGTTTTTTTTTTTTGTTGTTCAGTGAAAATGTGGACCCAATTTCAAGTCACTACAAAAAATTAATAACAAAAACTAATATTTTCAGAGTCAGGAGATAGTTTTGTTTTAGTTTTTTTTATTCAAGGATTAATGTTCATGGTTAATTAGCATAAAAAAGGTCAAAGAGACTTTTTAGACTTCCCTCGTGATATTTTATTGAATTATTAATTATTATTATTAATTATTATTATTATTTTATTATTATTTATTATTTTATTATTTATTATTATTATTTATTATTATTATTAATTAATTGACATTATTTATTATTATTATTATTATTTAATTGATTATGTTATTATTATTATTATTATTTATTATTATGTATTTATTCATTATTTATTATATTATTATATTAATTATTGATTATTATTTATTAATTTATTATTATTATTATTATTTATTAGGTTATTTATTATTATTATTATTATTATTATTATTATTATTTATTTTATTATTATTATTATTATTAGTTATTATATTCATAAATAATAAAATACATCTTGGGTAGCAGCGAGTGAAGTTACATTTATTTTTTATGTCCAGAAGCAAAACAAGGAGGCATCCCAGATTTGCTCAAAGGGACGGCAGGAGAAACTGGGACAAAAAACCTGATCAAGGATGGGTTCATTTGGCCTAGTGATTATCACAATACTTGTTACCTAGCAGTATATATTATGGGATATTACATAGAAGATAATTAGTTTTTAGCAAGCACAGTAGTTGAGACATTTGACTTACTTTAATTAAATATAGAATATTATTTAACATTTCAAGATTTGTACATTTCATTTTTATAATATCAGTTTCTTGATATAGTTGGATTTTGTACTGCTGTACTACTTACAATACTAATACAAGTATG